TGGCCTGCGCTCCCAGGGTTGCGGACAATCGCCACGCCACACTGCATAGACTTTCTTCCAACAAATAAAGTTGCTTGCGCCAAACAAGCAAGTCGCAATCAAAACTTCGAAATTACGGGTGTTTCGCGCTCACACAAAGTCTCATTTAGGGTTCCCAGTAAAAAGGCAACATTGCCTGTTGGGAAATCCCTAACAAAATAAGAAAAAAATAATAATAATAATAACGGGAAAAAAACAACCTGATCCTCAGTTCAGGAAGGGCTCTCTATATTGAGATCCATTGCGCGTACAAGAAATGCTTGGATACGACATGTTTGCACGTTTCAAGGTCACATCGTACATAGTGGCACATTATTAGCACAAGCCCTGTTCACACAGTTAACGGTGGCACAGGACACATGTTACACAAATGCACAAATGCACCACAGTATACTCATCGTGCTGATGTCACACACAAGGGCAGAGCACTACGTGCGCATGGTAAGAGCACTACTTGCGCATGGTCAGCCGTTTAAGTTAAGAAGCCTTGTCTCACTTACTGACACAGAGAATCTGGGCTTGAGTTTTGCTTGTGGCGTGCAGAAACGTCTGCTGTTGCGCGCTTAACATTACGGTTCTGTAAAGGGAACGGCCATTGACTCGGATTGACGCGACGTGGTAAGGTGCTTGCTGGTGCTTATGCAATAAGGCCAACTTCTCTAGCCAATGCTCTGTAAACACATGGCCATGTTCTTCTACCCACTCCTTGGTAATGAGATGATATCCGTACTCCTGACATGCGTCCTCTGCGAACTGCTCAGTCACGCTGGGTCTGTGTGCTGGAGTTGCTGCGGCGTGTACAGAATCGTTGGCCTGGAGCCATTTGGCTGCAAAGCAAGGGAAGATACAGTTGCGGGTAGAAACACATCATGAAACAAATCTACGAATAAGGGGGGCTTGAAATCAAACGCCCCGCTCCATGACACCTGATCTCATGGATACGGAAGTGCCCAGAGCTAGTGAGTAGTTCAATGTTCACAGGCCTGGGGCTCGCCAGACTTCATAGAGCAGCACCGTGTCACATTTGCAAATCATTCAGCGGTTCTGCCAAAGGAGTAGTATAACACCGGGTTATGGCACAAGCATACACATGAAATGTTTCTTCGCAGATGAAACTAATTGGTTACTCGTGTGTGGATATGACCCTGGCTAGACTGGTAGGTTTCTCATTGAAGAGGAAAACCTCGCTTGCATTCACTACTCTCGCCGTCTCTGTTTCATTCCTCCTGTCCCACTACTATCACTGGACACACGCTTTAACCCACTAACCGCTATATATATACATCATTGAAAATGATTCCCAGGCGCTGAGGACGTATATATATATATGAGTGGTTGCTCCCAAGCTTCCTAACTATATAATAAAAATAGAAAAGTTGCCTGACGATTGAAAAAAAAACTCAAGAAACTCGGAGTACCAGATATGGATTGATCGAAGAAGGATAGATTTACCATCACTGTGGATAAGAGTCATACTGTAGCTCAGTTGGTTCGAGCATTGCTCGCGAATAGCAAGGTCCCTGGTTCGAGTCTCGGTGGCGTGACTGATGATTTTTTCTTTCTTTCATATCTGGCTTGCAAGTGTTGAGTTTCGGAGAGAAAAGAGCAGTACGTGGCATGTGGCCTCTGGTTTCCTAATGCGCTTATAATGTGAACACTATTGGTGAAACACCCGGGAGCTGAACATACGGCTATGCATTGTGATAACACCGTTGTTTAGAACACACACAAACCTTTATTGCACATATAAGCGCATGGGCTTCTACCCGGACATGTTCACACAGCAAAAACTCTTTTTCTGCAGCAAATTTTCACAGATATGCCCATGGGCATATATGTGGGGAAGTATGGTATATACCGGTATAGATTATACATCTTTTTCATTGCCAAATAAGAAGTGCAGAGCCTGGGTGCCATGGTCTATAGCCTTAAAGGGGTTAAAACGCAACAGCCTACCTTCACAGATGACATCATGGTTGCCACTTCCATCCCTGTCAAATAGTTCGTCGCTCGAGTTGTCCTTGCCTTGCTCGTAAATAACATGCTGACCAAAGTACATGTACGATGTCCATAACTTGAGAGGGGTGCTGTAGCTGCTGTTACTTCTAGCCATCATCTCGCTCAGCAATGATTGTATGCAGTCGCTAACACCCAGCTTCAAGGCAAGCTCAGTGAAGGAATTATAGTCTACGACGTTGTATCCTCTTCTCACGCACATCTCGCGGGCGTGCACGAAGTTCGTTTTCTTCTGGCAGCTGCCATAGTCGAGATGTGGATAACACGGCAAGCTGGCAAGAGCCATCCAGGTGTATATTGCATTATTTGTGCCCAGGCACTTTGTCTTGAAAGCTGAACATAACACAGTACACATGCCAGACACAGTCAGGCGAAGTAGAACACAACTGCAGCACACTCTAACACGACATACACCGACTTTCTCAGATGGATACCGGAATCCAGTTCAAATAATATAGAGGTTAAGATGCATGTTATTTCCGATAAAATATTGGTTGGGGATTGTCTGAAGCATATTCAAATGAGGTACAGTCGGGCTTGATGACTGATCAAAGCCCTCGGGCTGGTACCTTGGGCTTCGATCAGCCATCAAGCCCTCCGTATCTCGCTTGCCGATTATCTACTTTAGTAACGTTACTTTGATTAGGCGTATATGCAAGCAGGCTATTGAATAATTTCGCGGTGACCGTCTTTGCACCGGGTTTGGAGAGCTGAGCCATGGTTAATTCATAGATAGTGAGGGAAGGAGGTGTGGGGGGGGGGGGGGGGTGGGGGGGGACATACCAATAATTAAACTTCCGAGGCACTTCTTTTGGCACTTGAGACAATTTCTGTAACAATCAAGTGCTTTAGAGGTGATTTGCACGACGGCAGGACTCATTCCGTGCCTGATGCTACCATGGAGATTTAGTCACATGTGCTCATATTTCGGCACGAACGTATCCCGGTACGGTCCCGGTGCCATGAGGGGGCTGGGGGAGGGGGAGGGGGGGGGGGCGGTGGTTGGAAATGCATATCGTGACATTCCGTGGTCTGTTTTGCAAGCTCTCTGGATCACGTGCTTCTCTTCCCGGCGGGATGGACTGCCGTCACGTAAATCGCCTCTTAGGAAGTCAGAGAGATCTCGAGCATGGTCTCCAGAAAAGCATGCTGTCTTCAAGCACTAGCTTCCTGTGTCCGAAAGGAGGGGGGGGGGGGGGGGGGGTGGTAAAACACAAGTATGAATCGGTTCGGAACCCAAATTTGGTTCCGAACTGATTCATAACTTGAGAATAATTGTTGATGTATGCATGTACATGTATGGTCACAATTCCCAGGAGCATGTGAATCAAAGAAACACGAGTATTCACTTCATTTAGCAGTTACTTACCATGTTGACACTGGTCTCCATGGAAACCTTTCCGGCAGTTGCAGGTGCCGTCTTCAGTACACTGACCATCATTCAAGCAATTGCACACTGCAGTAGAGATTGGGTGCATTCACGTATTTCCCAAAACACATAAAAATAGGGATAGAACTTGAATAACCTATTGGATTCTCAAGTCGTTGTCGCATGTTTCTTGATCATCATGACATTGTATAGACCTCAACATCGCAACAAACACTAACACTAACACCCATTCACCAATCCCAGGTAGATCCAACTGATAATCATGCCATGCACTTGAATAGAACACACGCTCAGCTAATAAGCTGGAGAACCAGGCATAAACGCTGGGAAGTACTTTTTCTTGTCTTCAAATACAACAGTCCAGCACGCGGGTATGCATGGGTCATATATTCTTTGACACGCGGGCTAAAATGACAGCAGCCTTCTTTAGCCCTTACCTTCTGTGCAGATGGGTCCGTCTGGTCTCGGTTTACATTCACATGCTTTGTTCTTTTTCACCCAGGGATTTGTGCACACAACTGCATTACATATCACACACAGAGAAGACAAAATGAGAGAGCGGATCAGCCATACACAAAAATGAACAGACAAAACGAGAGTGTTGTGGAATTATCCACCACCAGACCAGTGCGAGGATATAAGTTGGACTATAATTATTAATTTCAATTCTAAAATGCACAAGAAGTGTACAGAAGAAAAAGCACGAACTCGACCCGGCCAGAAGCAAGAAGAACTGAACACAAGATATTGAAAACCCTTCTCCTCAACAAGCTGCATCACGTACAACGCAAAACAACTGGCTGCACCAGCGTGTGCATCAGCGCGTGCACCAGCGCTGCACCAACGTGTGCACCAGCGAAATCAATATCGAAAGTACGTATCAATCATTACATTACGTACAACATGCGCAAGAGGGTTACTCTACTTCAGAACGTAGAAGAACGGCATCACCAACGGCGAACAGACAGTTATCAGCTTCAGACTCAACAAAGTCCTTGGAGGACAGCTCAGCTTCCACAAAATCACGGATCCGAGCAGCCTGGCGTTCAAGATCGGATGGAGTCAGGCCCAGCCCAGGAGTAGCCGAGAAGAGCACACCTGAGGGCTCCCAGCCAAGCATCGCACACATAGGAGAAATCTTGAGGACAGAGTGCACACGAATACGGTCGAAATACAGTAACACGTCCAGCTCAGATCGCCAAACATCAGCCTCATCCAACACCTTCCGAATTAAGGTGAGGAGAGTGCGGTTAAATCGCTCAACAGATCCCTGTGATTGGGGATGACTCACGGCACCGTTGAGCACTGTCACACCCAACGTGTCAAACAGCGATGACATCACGGCGTTGATGAATTCCGTGCCATTATCACAGCGGACCACTCAGGGCGGGCCCCACCGCGTACACAGGCCGACAAATGCCTCGGCCACTGATGCCGCGTCATGTTGACGGAGCGGAACCACTTCCACCCACTTGGTGAAAGTATCCATGCAGACGAGAACACAATGGTAGTTCCAGTTCCAGAGTATCTATTACTACAACACTCCATTGGGCCATCAGCCACCACAGGGCGACTGGCATCCGCCGAAACGCCCTTGGTTAGGCTGGCAGCAGCACACGGCGAACAGTGGCGCACAAAAAAACTGCTGACATTGGGCAGCCATGTTCGGGAAATAGCACTTCGAGCGGAGGAAGCGCCATGTACCCTCCCAAGACTCATGACCACAGTTCACATGAGCAGCACGAACGATATCGGACTCGAGTGAACTAGGAATAACAGGAATGACGACTGCATCATTGGGCGGCCACTTCACACTTCGACACAGCATACCATCATGGACTACGAGCTGTGACTTGACCTTGACAAACGCAGGATCAGTAACTGGGTCACCATCGATGACTTGCTGGCGAGTCGCAACAATCCGAGGATCTGCATTATGAGCAGCACATACTCTGTCCAATGAGAATGGACTAACGGTCACCACCGCAGCGGTGACGGACGGTGCAATCCGAGAAAGGAGCGTCTTGCCACATCGGATCCAGCTGCTGGGAACACGGGTCAATTGATCCGCCTTGTTCTGCTGACTGCTGATCCACTGGACCTTGACTGTCAAGCCCGTGACAGCGACGAGATCAGTGATAATCTGGAGACGGCGCTGTACAAGTACCTGCTGCAGGCCGCTGACGCGAACACGAGACACCTTGCCAAGCACCAATTGCAACCAAGCAGCCACAGTCTTGGAATCGGTGAATAGCGTGAGCTCCATCACTTGCCACTGCATGGCAAGGTGCAACCCCTTGATCACGGCGTCACGCTCAGCGATGTTAATGTGTCGCCGGTCGTCCTTCTGCCGCAGCCAGCAGCCATCCTCGACAATCATACTATCGGCCTGAGTGACAGCACCATGTGCGATGTCTGAAGCATCACACCACAACGACCACTGTGCGTCTTCAGGAACTGACCACACACCTTGCGCAGGGTCATCGGTCTGCAGACGGTGAATGACTTCCGCACAACAAGCGACGACTTCATGAGACACTGGATCGTCCCGTCCAGGCTGAAGGCTAGACAGACGCTTCAGATAACTGCACGCCGCGCGCAGCCAGGAGCCGACAGGATAGCGGCTGGTCAGCTTGCCACACCACTTGAAAATCTCGCGCCGTGTGACGGCACCGGGCTGACAGGTCGGCATGACGTCACCACGACGCTTCCACCTCACTTGGCCATCTGCAGACTCCGACAGCAGCAGGCCGAGTACCCTAGCAGAGACGACTGGCTCCGCTGGCTTGGTGGGCAACCAGTACTGCGACAACTGATCGGTGACAGCACGCAGACGAGGCTTCGGAGCATACAAATCGTTGACATAGTTGTCCACATCAGCATACGCACGGAGGACCCACTTGACGATTATGTCCATGAATTTGGGCGCAATCGATAGACCGAAGCCCATCCTCTCCATTGCGAACAGCTGGCCCTTCCAGCAACACGTGGCTGTCGGCGTTGCCAATAGACCTCCACTGACGCAATTTCTCTTGGCAAACAGGCACGTCCAAACCTGGATGCGACACAATCAACTTGTTGAGTTGCCGGTAGTCCAAACACGGGCGGACAGGGGTGGACTCCTTGTGCGTCTGGGCCACCGCCAACAAGGGAAACACAGCACCAGGCTCACCATGGACTGCTTGGTCATGGGGTACCAACCATCCATTGCGGATCAACATGTCCACTTCCTCGCAGAACTGTGACTCCTACCCTCTGTCCCCCTCTAAGTCTAACAAATGAGGACTGAGACCTGTACAACAGGGTTTTTACGCCTGAAAGCAGGTGCATGATTTAACAAGCAGGTTGTCAGTCTAGATTTTATGCGCAGATGGAGAAAAATGCGCAATTTTTTTGTAATGTGATGAAAAGCAGAAATAATAAGAAAAGATGAAATGAAAGCCTGCTCCGCACAACCCCGTCCAGCCTTGCGAACTGGGTATGGTGGATTAAGAACCCGGGTCAACGCTCGAGCAAGCGCTCTCCACTCCAGGTGTTCACAGCAACTGTTAGGGAAATTATAGAAAATGAAGATGAAGTCAAGCTCATTTGAATTTTCGGTTTGTACGGTGTTTGCAGCAGCGCGGATTCGAATCTCCTCACGCATGTTCCTGTCGATGACCCCGAGTACGTTGTCGTGCCTCCAGGTGTATACGTGTAACGTCCTGGTCCAGCGCTACGCGACAAGCGACAAGCACGTGGCGCGTAGTACAGGCCCAGGAGAAAGAGAGAGAGAGAGAAAGAGAGGAGAGAGGAGAGAGAGAGAGATGGAGGGAGCACGAACGCACGTACCGGAATGCTAGCGCAGCTACCTTGGATCGTGATGGCGTACTTATCCATGCGCTGTTGAGTTGGTTCCTCGCCGAACGGCTTCACCTGTACATTTACAACACTAACGTGTGTTGT